GGCAGGGTCCAGCTTCCCAGTGGCCACCTGGTGACATTTTGGACGGCAACCTGATGGATTCAGGGACATTCCACAGGTTCTGAGAAGTCTGAAGAGTGTCCAGTCAACCCCACCACGTGTGGGCCCGGCTGCACTGGGCCCCGTCTCTCCTGCAGGGGTCCCGGTGGCGACCACGTTCAGATCCTCCAGTGAACAGTCAGGAAAGTTCCTCCTCAGCCCGTGAGCAAGGCCCGGGCATGCAAGTGAGGGCCGGACAGGGCAGGATTCCGAGAGAGACGTGAGTTTCGTCCTCATACACTGGTCACCTTTCATCCAGGTGAACCCCAGGATCGAGGTTTAACCTCATTGTAACTGCTGGCGTCTGCTGGACTCTGGAAGCCAATAGATGACAAAGTCTTTACATTACAATCCACAAATCTTTGGTTTCCTCGTAATGTCCCCTCCCTGTCACCAACTTCGAGGCTGAACTACAGTTAGATTTGTATCTTTCAGAATGGTGGTGGCCAGGCCAGCCCTGCTGCCGTGAGTAGAACCAGAGAGCTTTGCCTGTGTTCTGTCGACACCAGATTAGCCCGGTTCCCCCACGCTGAGCTCACCTCTCGGGTGCATGAGGGTCACCCTGCAGGCTCGAGCACGCAGAGAGGGAGGGTGGCTCATTGCGCACAGGCTGGGACAGACGTGAGTATACAGTGTGCACATATATGGTCCGAGATTACCAGGCAAACAAAATGCTCTGCTCAAGAGGGACATCTTTGGGGGCTCAGAGGAACCTGGAAAGGAACCAAAGCCAAGGCCAGTCCTCATTGTCAGCAACGCTGCCTCTGTGGGCCCGGCTGCAGCTCTGGGTCTTGGGTAAAGGGGGTGGGGAGGGTAATGGGGGACATCTGTAAGAGTGTCAACAATAACAAAACAATAAAAACACTTTTAAATTTGTTGTATGTATTTGGATGACAATACACCACTTACTAGATTTTGAATAGAAACATAAGCCCCTAGGAGGGGGCACTGGGCAGGGCCTGGAGGCTGGTCCCAGCTCAAATCGCCCAGGTCCCCCAGGAACAAGCTCTGACCTCACTCTAGTGTCCAGCCCAGACTCACCATGTGTGACATCGTGACCAGACCCATCAGAGACAGACTCAGCCTTCCCACTATCTGCCTTTGCCTTAATGTCAGGCCATGTGTCCTCTTCTGTGGCCTCCCCAGCACCTCAGGACAATTTAATGCTCTATTCAAGGTGTTCAGGGTGAGTCTTTCCACACCTCCCTCTGCGTTCAGTGGTCAGGACTCGGGTGGTTTCTCACATAAACTCTTAGACCAGTATGAGGTCCAGAGCAGTGACCAGCCCCATGGAGGAATGTCCCCTTCTGTGCAGGACAAGGGTTCTCTCCACCCTGGTGGGCAGAATGACTCAACCTGCTGATTCCAGTCCATAAAGACTGCAAAGGTGACGCATCTATATTTCATCAATATCCATGCGAGACTGCAAGGATCATGAAGAATAAACAAATATGACAGCAGCAAGGAAGCTAATAAAGACCCATTTAGGGCCCCCAAAATAGGGATCTGTGAATATTGTGACATAGAACTCAAGATAGATACAAAAGAACACAGATAAATAAACAGAATCTGAACAAAGCATGAGAAAATGAGAACTTCAACTAAAAAATACCCAAAATACTAAAAATACAAAAGGACTAACTCCCCAAATAAAAACCCAGGAGATGAAGAATGCAATAGCTTTCAAACCAATAAAGGAACAGTCTATATTATTACAGAGTTTATATTTCCAGATATCTCAGGGTCCCGTGATTTCTGAGTGGGCTGATCCTAGGTGCCCGTGTGCAATCTGAACCAGTTAAGGAGCCCGTGGTCACCCAGGGAAGACTGTGGTGCACATCTGATGGGAATCTCCCTGATCCCTTAGATTGACTTATTTTGTTACAGCTGTTGGTTTGTAGGTCTCCTGTTCTATTCCATCATCCCCGCTCTACAGCCTCTGACATTTGATGCCTGTATTGGTCATGAGAATAAAATGTTTTCTGTTTATGTTCCCCACTCTGGATTTTCATTTTTCTCTTTTATTCAGCCCAGAAATTAGGATGTTTTCTTGTGTCCCCATGATATACATGTGATTAACTTTTCTTTTGCTAGTCTAATATTATACTAGTTTTCAGGATGAGGATTGATATATATAAACCACTTCCTCTTCTGTGAAGGACTTTCCTCTTCTGGGAACATCTTCCTCTATTTCTAACATAAAGGGGCCCAGGACCTGGGATCCCACCCACATTGGTGTGTCATCATGTTTGGTTGACAAATGCCCCATGTCTCGACAGCAAGAACACACCAGAACTTTCTAGATTAATGTCTGTGATGTAGGAACTCTCTAGCGTAATGAGGGTTGGGTCATTGGCTCTGTTCTCTAAAGTACTGAGATCCATCCACATGTCATAACCAAAGAGGCTGAGGAAACCAAAGGGAGAAAAGAATTCTAGTACCTGGGACTAAACCATACCGGGATCATCTTCATAGATCTGCAAACCCCATTTCCAAACAAAGTCACCTTCTGAGGTACTGAATGCTCAGGTGTCATCACATGAATCATTGGGGACACCATTAAGCCAAAACTTATTAATGTCCTTGGTTTATTTAGGTGTCCCAAATTTTTACCTAATGTCCTTTTACTGATGTAAGATTCCACCCAGGACACTTAGTTACATTTATTAGTCATGTCCCCTTAGGCTTCTCTTGCTGTGACCATCTCAAACTATCCCTGTTTTAGGTGTCTCTGTCGGCACTTAGTGAATGCGAATTAAGCCTGACATTCTTCAGGGCCACGTTTTTACATATATGACTTGAAATTCTTCTACATGGGAAGTGTGTCTCTTTGTCTCCATTTATTGGTTTATTCAACTCTTTTATAGTGTGCATCATGACCCTTTATTTTACACTTCGAGTTATAACCCAATACTATCATGATTATTTGATTGCTCAAATCATTCCAGTCACAATGTCCGTGTGTGTGTGTGTGTGTGTGTGTGTGTGTGAGTGTACAGATATTTGTTTTATTTAAATGATTGTTTATTTCTTGGGCTGCCAGAGGCTCCATGCTCATCTTACGTAATTACTGATGTTAGAATTAAACTTTCTCCAAAGAAGTCTGCACTCTGTCACTTGAGCAGGTGTAGAAGCCCATATCCAGCTCAGGGCAGACTCACCCCTGTGGGCGCCAACAGTTCCAGTTCCACGCTGCGGACAGACAGGAAAATCCACGGGGGAACTGAGCCGAAGTGCACACCAGTCAATGTTTCTATGAGCCACCGTCTGTCTCCATGGGACCAGGCAGGAGTCATACTGCTACCTGCGACTATAATGTGTCACCGCAGGGATCAGTCAGGACGCCTCCCCTTGGTTAGAAAGGTCCACGTCCACACTAAAGTGAGCAATCTGGGGCCCACCGTGTCCATGCATTCACTGACTTGTGTCCTTCCAGCACCCAGCACAGCCACACCCCACCATGCACCTGTTGCCATGGAAACCCCATCGTCAAGGGGGGCCCCGTCGTCTGTACAGGCTCTTTTGCTTTTAGTCTTACAGGCTCCACTCATTGTCAAGGGCTTCAGGTCAGTACTTTCTCCCCCTCCCTGCAGTGAGGTGGCTCACACTTGCACAGTGCAGATGGATGGGTTCTTGTCATCACCTGCATTCCAGCATGGGACCCCAACTTCCAAAATCACATTTAGTGTGCACACATTAAGGGTCTGTTGTAAAATTTTCAGAGTTTGATGAATCCATAGTGTCATTGAGGTGCCTTAACTGTATCTTGTAGAAGAATTTCATTATTCCTAAAGAAATACTTTATGTTCACATAGTCAACTCTTGTTTTTCTAAAGTCCTGTGTACCACAGACGTTCATACTCTCTCTAGAAGTGTGTCTCTTCCAAAATGTGACATAATTCATGTGATACTCAAAATAGCATCCCCTTTTCAAAACTTGGAGGACATCGTCATGGGGTCCTGTTAGGGTGATTACACAGATGCTGTTTTGACAAGTGTCCATGCTCAGACTCTGGCTGCTGACAGTTTGAGGAGTTACTAATAAAACAGCAATAAACATTCACATGAAGGTTTTTCAGTAGACAAATGTATTGGATTTATTTTTATAATTTTACTTTACTTATCTCATTTTTATTTGAGGTATAATTGATATATGTTATATTAGTTTCAGGTGTATACCATAATGAGTCTATATTGGTATATATTGAAAAATTATCTGCAGTAAACATCTTGATGATATCTGATAACAAACATAAGCACATTTTTATTGTTTCCCAAGCTGAGAACTTTGAAGATCTATTTTTTTTAGCAGAGTTCCAGTGTCCAACATGACAGCATCTCTGCCATAGTCACCATGCTGTGCATTGTGTCCCAGACCATTTATTTCACAGCTGGGAGTTTGCACCCTTTAGCCCTCAACCCCTGGACCCCCTTCATCCCCATCTCTGTCATCCACCGATCTGCTATAATTTTGTACATGCAAATCGCCATACTTTGCAATAAAAGTCAGAAAACAAGACAAAACTAGTCAGCACTGGACACAGTGAAGTGGATCACGATCTGAGACGCAAACAGGGCGGAGTCGCCTTCTGCACAGAACAAATAGTGCTGAGGCCCCAGTAGGCTCCGGGGCCCAGGACAATGTTTCGTGTGTTTTAACATCACCAGGAGACAGGATGCTCACCAATCTGAAGTAAATTGTCCCAGCTGGTGGGGACGTGGACTTTCAGTTTTGTTTAGGACCCTTGGTCTGGGAAAGTGCGGCTGTGAGTGACTGAGGACAGAAGGGAGAGAAGGATCCTGCACTCCCTGGCCGTGTTCCTGGATGAACCTGGGCCCAGGACATCGGACAGAGAATAAGCAGCAGTCACAGGTCACAGGCTGGGCCTGAGCAGGCAGCTGCTGGAGTGTTCACGACCTCGCAGCTGAGAGGGGTTCTTGTCTCACTTCCCCGCAGCCTGGGGCACTGTGTGACCTCTGAGACTATCGTCCCATGAGGAGCAGTAATAATCAGCCTCGTCCTCAGCCTGGAGCCCAGAGATGGTCAGGGTGGCTGAGCTGCCAGACTTGGAGCCAGAGAATCGATCAGGGACCCCTGAGGGTCTATTGCTACTACCATAGATGATGCGCTTAGGTGCTGTTCCTGGGAGCTGTTGGTACCAATGTACATGATTATCTCCAATGTTGGAGCTGCTTCCAGTGCAGGAGATGGTGACCGTCTGGCCCGGGGCCCCAGACACTGAGGGCGGCTGAGTCAGCACAGACTGGGCCCAGGATCCTGGAAGAGAGAGGGACACAGAGATGGTGATGCTGGGTCTAGACACAAGAACAGAAAGCAGAGCCCAACCAATCCTCCCAGGGTCCCTTCTTCAGTCCCCATTTCCTGTCACCTGCGCAGTGAGCGATGAGAGTGAGGAGGACAGGGGACCAGGCCATGCTGGACAGAGTCACTGAGTCCTGCTTTCCGTGGCCTCAAGGCTGCAGCAGGGCTTCCCCAACTCTCCCTTCTCTTCTTTATTCTTTTAGAGAGGGAGGGGGCACATTATGCAAATCAGAATCCCCAACTATTTGATCCCTCCTGGTCTCTAGACCAGGTGCCTGATAGGATGGCCATGGGTGTTCGCAGGGGTGGGGCTGTGTGAGGTCCTGGGGTGGGGAAGTCACAGCTGTAAGCCCTGAGCAGAGAGAACTAGGCAGTTCCAGGGGCTGGTCCCAGGGCCCAACACCCAGGTCCTTCAGGAACAAGCCCCGAGCGCCCTCTAGTGTCCAGACTCAGACATGCCATTGTGTGACCTGGTGACCAGAACCCATCAGAGACAGACTCAGCTTTCCCATTGTTCTGTCCACTGCCCCTTCTCTTAGGGCCAGGCCAGCTGTCCTCTCTTGTGGCCTCCCCATCACCTCAGGACATTTCAATGCTCTACTCAGGGTCTTCAGGGTGAGTCTTTCCACACCACCCTTTGCTGTTCAGTGGTCAGGACTCAGGTGGTTTCTCTCACATAGACTCTTAGACCACTATCAGGTCCAGAGCAGTGACCAGCCCCATGGAGGCCTGTCCCCTTGTGTGCAGGACAAGGGTTCTTTCCTCCCTGGTGGGCAGAGGTCTCCTTCCCTGTGGATTCCCAGCAGAACTGAGGAGAAGGGGCGCTCTGCTCTCTGGGGATGGAGGCTGTGGGGAGAAACCCTCATTTGCATTCCTGTGGGCGATGCTGGGTAAAACTTTATCATCTGTCAATATTCCCACCTGCAAGAAACCATAGTCCTCACAGGCTGTGCGCAGAGGAGTCTATTCTCAGGCTCACCGTGGAAAGTTAGGCTGGGAACCTGCCCAGTGACGGTGTTTGTGACATTTGTCTAAGGGTAAAAAGGCAAAAAGTTTAATTTGAATGATAAAATTTTACTTTAAAATTTTTATATTAGTCACCACTTACCCAACTTAAAATGCATGTATATTCGTGTATATATAAAATTACCTCGATAAGGTTGATTTCAAAACATCCATAGAAATGTACTGGAAACGCAATGCCCCTGTTCTTGGTTGAAAAGGTGTTTATAAATGTTCTCCTAAAATCACTTTATTTTTTAGTCATGGCTTTAGGACTTGTATACAGGGGTCTGGTCCTGCAGATCGGAAAGCTGAGTTGGTGCCCAGTGAAACTCCAGGAAGGGTTTTTCAATGCAATGAGAGCCGTCCCAGTTATACAAACACCCAGCACAGACGAGCATCCAGGACAGAGGGCTGTTGGATTCTGACTTGCCAGCCGGCTGGGCACAGCTACAGTCCCTGCCACTTGTGTCCAGAATTTTTAGGGCACAGAATCTGTTCACTCAGCCATTCAAGGCTGAATGATCCCATAATTTCTTTTAATGACCCTCATGTCAGTCATAGGAAGGTGGGGAAGAGAAGAGGTACTATGTCCCTTAAGTCACAGCCCTGTGGCCCTGGGTTGGGTCAGATAACTTTCTGGCAGATGTTCAGCCTGGCTGGCAGTATCCCAGTGGGGACTGACTGAGAGACGACCCGGCCCCGAGAGCAGGGGAGGCTGTGTCGCCCCCATGGACTGTGAGCACCGTGTCGCAGCACTGAGCCGCTGTCCCAGGATAAATGAAATGATCAGCCTCAGGTGCTGCCTGGAGCCCAGAGATGGTCGGGAGGCTGAGCTGCAGAGGGAGCAGGGTCTCACCGGGTCCTGAGCATCCACCTCATCCCCGTAGAGCTGGAGCTCAGGGCAGGTCCTGGGGTCCTGGTAACAGGACACCGGTGACACTCATTTACTGGTGTTTCCCGCTCAGGGAGACTCTGTCTCCTGGAGATCCTGACACTAGGAGGAGAGAGAAGCCCGAAACTCATTGTCCAGACCCGTAGACACTCAGAGAAGAGTGAGCTGTGAGTGGGTGGCTGTGCTGTCCCTTCTATGTCCTCTCTGCCCCCTGAGGGTGGCTCTTCATGCAAACTCATCCTGAGGGTTCACTCTATGTAAGTCCCTCCAGGGTCCTAACCTGGAGATAAATAAAGCCAAGTCTGCAAAACCACATCCCTTGGGCCAGGGTGAGTTTTAAGGAAGATGGAAGAATTTGTTCTAGATTAGGTTGGATAACCATTCCACCTTATCTAAAGTCAGGTCTTGTGCATGAGGACATCTGCCCAGGGCCTGAGAATCTGGTGGGACACCTGAGGGTCGACCTCTGCTACCACAAGTGAAGGGTTGGGTCCATGTCCTGCAGCTGCTGCTAACGGGACACATCAGTCCCCAGCGTGATGTTGCAGTAGTCAGTGTCCACCCACCCCTCCGGTTGCTCAGTCCCTGCACACCGCTGGGCAGCACACACTGGGCCCCGGAGGCTGGAGATCGGGAGATACTCAGGGAAGAAACAGGGTCAGAGGACAAAGACACACTCAGGGCTCCCGGGTCCTCTGTCCCCAGCCCTGGCACTGGCCTCAGGGCACCTGTGCAGTAAGGAGCATGGTGAGGACGGGAACCCGGGCCATGGTGCAGGCCCACCCAGATCTGCACCCGGAGGCTCCTCATCTGGATCTGGGCTCCCCAGGTCTTCTGGGTCCTCTCCAGCAGCCCCGTGTGGGAGGGGCCCTCGTGCAAACCAGCACCCTCCCTGGCTGTCCCACAGCAACCTAGACTTTGAATCTGACCCCTGACTGACACCTCTTCCCAGAATTAGTGGAGGTGAAGCAGGGTCCTGGTCTGTGTCTCCCCAAGTTCCTGGGAGGACACATCGGCTGGGTTTCAATCAGCAGGGGGCACAGTGATCAGACGCAGGTCCACTGGTGGCTCCCAGCTCAGGTCACAGAAAACACCCCTCAGGGACAGGCCACAGTGCCCGGGGCTTCCTGAGGCCCAGGCATAGATGTATGTTTTGTCTTCCCCACTGTCCAGATCGCTGTCCCTCTAAGGACACGGCTGCACTTGTCTGTGCACCAGGCATTTCTCATGTCTCCTCAGGGCTGTTCTCCACCATGACTCACCTGCCCGGTGGACCATGTTCATAGCAGCCTTGGGACCTGGCCCACCCCGATGGAGGGCCCCTGGTGACCGCAGAGCTCGAAGCCCAGTGGGAACAGAAGCCACCCTCCCTCCCAGGGCACCAGGGTAAGCAGCTTCCTCCCTCTCCCCTGGTCAGAGGGAACCTCTCCCCAGATCCGGGCCTGCCCTCAGAGCCCCGGTCTCCCCACCCCAATCCGCTCTTCCCCAGCCCTCCTGAGATGCCTCAGAGACTCCGAGCTCCCGACTCCCAGCAAATAATAACAACAGAGCACGGCTTTCTTTATGACCCGCACACCTTCCACACCTGACTCCAGAGTGAGTCCACGGTCACAGCATCAGTGTAAGAGCTGGGGGGGGGGAGGGGAACTTTTCCTCAGCAGAACCTTCCTACTTCAGTTAAGATTATTCCAATTGGCAACTATTGAGGACATAAGAGGCAAGCCATCCAGGGAACGCTCATGCCTTCTACACTTTCTTTGGTGCCACCGAATGAACTGCAGTCCCTTGACATCACAGGAGAACCCAGCACCCGAGCCGGGAGCACACAGCAAGACCTGACCTCAGTGTGTCCTTCCCTGGATTGAGGGCGGTCTCGGAGTAGCCCCCATGGTTCCCATCCTGGAATCACTCACTTGCTGAGAAAAAATTGGGGTGATAAGCAAGACGAGGCTTTCTTGCTGGCTTTATTCTACTGAGCCACCTTGATACTAGGTTGCTGTTGAGGATGAGGGTTGGGGGGCAGTGACTGAAACTAATTTTCAAAGCAAAGAGTGCAGCCCGGTTTCCACAGCAGGTTTGCTCCCTCAGGGCGGTGTGGGCTTGTGCGCATGTGGACGAGGTTTCTGAGTGTGACCCTGTGGTGTGATCCCGAGTGTGCCTGTGCTGTGTTTCCTGAGATTTATGTCCCACTAATGGGACAATGGTTAGTGCACCCTCTAAAAGAAAGAAATCTCATAACTATGTTTTATGTGCATGTAAAATTTGCAATTAAAATTTATCAAATTTTACATACATATTGTGTGAACTACATTGCATTGTATAAAAACTACACCTCACTAGTTTACAAAAAAATCCATCGTCAGCTAGGCACTTCTCCCAGGCTTTAAATAGACAAAACTGCGTTTCAGAATCACCTTCTATTCAATTCATAACATTTAGTCACAAGCCGAAGCTCAGTACAGTCCTCTCTCCCCCGTCCCGTTAGTCGGACTGATCATGAGGGAGAAAACGCAGCATCACTGTCTCATTTCCCATGTGACAAGGACCTGACGGTTGAGTGAGTCACGCAGGGTCACTGTTCCTGTGATGGGGAACTGGGCAGGTGATTTGGGTTCGTGTCCCAAATCCAAGCATTTTCCCTCAACCTGCCGGTCCTGAACGGAAGGCCACACGCAGGCCGTGTGCCCAGCACCTGGACAATCAGGAGCATTTTCCAGCTGAGCCTCCTGCCTGGTGGCAGTGACCAGGCTGGGACGTGTCATCAGAACAGTTCACTGGAGATTGGACTGGACAAAGTGCTCACGCATCCATGGAAGGGTCTCTGAGCTTTGGTTCCTGAGGGACAAGTAACTAGGGATTTCTCCCAAGTCTGGTGTTGGTCACATGAAGAGTATGTCTATGGGCCAGGCTGGTGATCAGGTGGAAAGCTTGTATCTCATTTTCCTCTCAGGCTGGTGTCCTGGGTTAGCACAGTGATCCTTTTAGATCTTAAGAAGTCATAATCATCCTCATTCTCTTTGTTTTCCAACCTCAGAGAGAGGCCCAGAGTCATCAAGGAGAGTGATCAGGTCTGGAGCCGAAGAACCAATGAGAGACACCGAGGTTTGAGAATCACCAGACATTATGGTTGGAGCTCCTGTGTGGGCACTGTTGGTACGAGGGCACCGTACACACCCAACTCTGCTGCTCTTTCTGGTACAGCCAGGGGGTGGCCAGCTGAGTCAGTCCAGACCAAGCACAGGACCCTAGGAG